ACCAGTTCACCCTCCAACTGGGCTCATCAACTATAATCCCATCAAGTTTGGCCAGGAATCTTGGGGTGATCCTTGATGATCAGCTGATCACACTGCAAAAACAGCACGAAAATGCAGGTTTGCACTACACAACATCAGGAAAGTCAGGCCCTCCTAACAGAGCATGCAACACAGCTTATCGTCCAGGCCCTTGTCATTTATTGGTCTTACAAGTGCAATCAGACCTCAATGATTCAGAATGCAGCAGCATGTCTTGTTTTAAATTAGCCCAAGAGTGCTCATGTCACACCGCTTCTCATCTCTCTGCACTGGCTTCCAGTCGTGGCTCGCATCAAGTTCAAAACATTGGTGCTTGCCTACAGAACCGCCACAGGCTCTGCACCCTCCTTCAGAAGCCTGCAGTCGGTAAATTAGCGGCGGCTCGTGGTCCCATCTCAGAGAGGAACAAAATTACTCTCAAGGATGTTTTCTTTCATCGTGGAATGACCTACCCAACTCCATCCAAACAGCCAAATCCCTCACAACATTCAAGAAACAACTATTTTTCCCTCCAAAATTCAGCATGATTACATATAGATTTTTTTCACAACAGTTCAATAAACAATAAGTTAATTAAGAGGCTTGTGTTTTAGACACCATATTGCCTGTTTTTGCTCTATTTCGACAACAAAAATCATTTCAAACAGCCACCATAGCACAGTTTTGCGTCTTTGAGCAATGACGGTGTTTCATTCCTGAATGAATCAACCGTTTAAATGATTCGGTTCAATCGCAGTTTATTGGTCTTACAAGTGCAATCAGACCTCAATGATTCAGAATGCAGCAGCATGTCTTGTTTTAAATTAGCCCAAGAGTGCTCATGTCACACCGCTTCTCATCTCTCTGCACTGGCTTCCAGTCGTGGCTCGCATCAAGTTCAAAACATTGGTGCTTGCCTACAGAACCGCCACAGGCTCTGCACCCTCCTTCAGAAGCCTGCAGTCGGTAAATTAGCGGCGGCTCGTGGTCCCATCTCAGAGAGGAACAAAATTACTCTCAAGGATGTTTTCTTTCATCGTGGAATGACCTACCCAACTCCATCCAAACAGCCAAATCCCTCACAACATTCAAGAAACAACTGAAAACGCATCTCTTCCTTGAGCATCTAACTGCCTCCAATAATAATAATAAAAAAAATAAATTATAAAAAAAATTATGCCTTCACTTTTTCTGTTCTCTTATTATACTCCTGTCCTAGCTTTTTACTATTTTGAATAATGACTGAAACCTTGTATAATGTCATCTTATCTATTGCCATCTTATGCAGAGGTGAAAAGTAACGAATTACTTTTACTCGCGTTACTGTAATTGAGTAGCTTTTTTGTGTACTTCTACTTTTTAAAGTCATTTTTAAAATCTGTAATTTTACTTTTATTTAAGTATATCTTGTTTGAAGCATTGTACTTCGCTACATTTTAAAACACATTAATTGCTGAGTAAAAAAAATTAATAAAAATCGCTCCCTGGAAACTACTGCAGTAATGGGCAGGAGAGCAAACAGGCACTAAAATCACAAGAAAGATGCAGAAGGACAAGACAGGCATTATGGTGCACTCGACCCAGCTGAAAACGAAACCCCGTCGTATTCCGTTGAAGTCGAACTCGAACTCGAAGGAAATTAAGTGAACCCCTGGCCATATTTATGCTCTATTATGCAGTGTAAGCTGTGTTTGCCTAGGGAGACCAAACTAGCAGTTTATAAAATCTCGACATCAACCCTTCGCAAGCATGTA